CGCAGTGTAAGTCCAAATTACTTTCCGGACGGCGGTCACCATTGCAGAGGGAGACGCTGATACTCCCGTTTCATAATGGGGCGGTGGATTCTTGTTCAAATACCAGCCCTGAGACCCGCTATCCTGATTTTCCTCAGACTCTCTAGGCAAATGCCAAGATAACTAACTAGCTGGCTTACGGAACCCGAAGGTTCATCACTGAATTAACCAAAGCCCTCCACCGGACCCTGTCCTGGGCCAACAAAATCCAGTCTCCTTCGACTCCTATCTCCCATAGATCCCGCCTGACATTATCCTCCCATCTACGTCTAGGTCTCCCCAGCGGTCTCTTCCCCCCAGGCTTCCCGACCAATACCAGGTGCACACCTCTTGTCCCATCCATGCGCGCTACATGCCCAGCCCATCTCATTCTTCTCGACTTAATCACCCTGACAATACTGGGGGAGGAGTACAGATTTTTAAGCTCATCATTATGACGGGAAGACAAAATGGAGTTCATATTGTGCAAATGCGTCCTACGCGAATTTTCGTGCATGGCTAGCGTTGTTAATTTATTGCAGACATACTCACTGTTGCAAAGCTAATCGTATAAAATATGCATTGCAGTAGTGCCTGGACGTAGTTTTTCTTGTGTTTCGTTAAATATTCGGCTTTAATTACGACACACAAAGGCGTTTCAAATTAAAGTTGTAGATCTTAAGAAAATCTGAGTGACATGTATTAATATTTAGTACGATGGCAATTTTAAGAGGAAACTGATTTGAGCTTCATGTAATTATAAAACGGAAATTATGTTCGATCGAGTAAAAACAAACATTTTCATCTGCTGGACGATGATTAGTGTAGACATTCAATATAAAATTTTATTAAAATTTGTCAAGTAATTTCATACTCAGAAACGGGCATTTACTTCCTGAATTTTGTCTCAAGTTCACGTGAGAAAAATCTCAAATAACTCACTTAAGGAATATTATTTTATGCTTTATTGTGTATAACTGGTAGGCAACTAACTCCATGGAACAGAGTTTTTTTAAGCTTTCTGGTAACAATGCTAACGTTCGGGGGCACTTACTTATTTTTTAAACTCATTCCTTTAATTTAAGTCCTTTTGGTCAGATAGCTAAGTTATATTCGAGTCACAAACGGTAATTTTCCATCAAGTTCGTGCGTCGTGCTAAGAAGCAAATCCCAAGTCTCCAATTCTGTAATGAAAGTCTACAAATGAAAGAATAAAACATAAAAAACTAACTCTTTGTTCAAGTTTGATTCGATATATCTTTCTTTTACACTGCGTGAGTTTCTTAAAGTATTTCCGGTTAGGCTGCAATGACAGAAGTGGAACCAGTTCTTTGTACCACATGTGAACGCATGCCATTGACCGATTCTAAACGAAACCTGGGCAAAAACACGAGAAGGAAAAGACTGAAATGAAGGGAAAGAAATACTGAGAAGGCTAAATCGAAAGATTCTTCACAACTTTGTACGACAAAGGACTGCAAGGGAATGAGTTTGTCGCTCAGAGAAAGAGACAAGAAGTTTTTGATTATTTCTTACAATACTAATTCCAATTAAACGTGAAATGCTAAGAATATCATATGACCAAAAATATTTTAAATTATGAATAAATATGTTATATATGTGTTGCATTTTTATGTGCTTGTAATACATTTCACTAATCCAAGTTTAACAACACACATGTCAGTACTTCTACTTAGAAAGTTAATTTAGTGGCGAGATAATCCGTACAATGTCCATAGCCTGAGTGACGTCAACAATCAGTGTCGTGGCGCAACTGTAACCCGCCGACTTGTTTGAATGTTATGACATTTATAGTTTTTATAGACTGTAACGGAATTTTCCTCATCATTTATCTTGACTCGGGAGGAAGCTTAGAATAACACATTCTAAGCATGTTCGTCTTCGTACTACGGTCCAATATAAAATGTCTCCGTCGTACGCACAATATGAGCGGTGTAAACATATAAAAATGGCGAGAACACCGCTGCCTTGCCGTCCCGTTGCATAAACCAAGCCGTAATGAGCCGAGCCAAAATCTCTCTCGGCTGAGTAGGTGCAGAGTCCAAGTTAACTGACGCTGACAACAGAGTAATTCATACTATGTTCTAAATACCAAATGACGTGAAAAGGTTGCTGCATTTCGTTTATACTGTAATGAAAGAAAAAATATAGAGGTTGCTTTTTTACTAAAAAGTTTAAAGAATATTGAAGAATGTTAATAAATTCTGAACAAGCAAGGGTTTTAAAGGAGGCTATGGTATGCTGATCTAAGGTAATGTCCCCTCATTTTACTGGATGTGCTGAGGAAAGCCACGAAGTCGAAATTTGATATCTTTAGCATCAAAAACCATAGTTAGGATACGATGCAGGGAATTTCTGAATATGAATTAGATACTTTATCGCTTACCAGGGTCATGTGATATCATTTCAATGGAAGATCAGTCGGTTCATTTTGTTTATTAAAGGAAAAACTGTAGGCCTACCCAGTAAACCGCGCCTGTTCCAGAAGGAAGCTCGTCTACCCGCTTCATCACTATAGCGTGGTACCATAAGAATATGTCAGAGATGCTCAGAACGTAGACGGAAGTTAGATGTTGGCCAGAGTTTTCAATTTATCAACTGTTATTATTCTATTAAATTCGCAAATAACTTTGGAATGCTTTCGAGGGTTTCTTGGGCGGAAGAAATTTTCTTTTCTTAAGAAAACATAAAAATGCAAAAGGAGAGTGGCTAAATCAATATATAATGAGTAGTACTAGGCAGAAACTCCTCCCAAACGTACTTCACAGACTTCTTTTTATTTAAAAATGCCTCAAAGCGAAATTGCATTTCGTTTGTCTTCAAATAAACTACTAGAGTGTTTTCTTCAATAAATTTTGGTTGAAAGAATTTTATATTACAAGCCTTTTTTTCCATTTTTGTTCAGTCTTAAAGTTATCCTAAGGCTATTTCTTGTTATTCTTAGTGAAAGAAAGAATTTCGTTATTGAATAACGTAGATTGTAAGCACGTAGCAGATTCGTTATTCAAATGTTTCCTTAGCCTTTTAAAATGGATTCACGATTGAAAGTAAATAAGGAAATACGCGCTACGTCCATTAAGTATAACAGCAAGTTATTCGGCGTTTGCAGTGGGCCAGTACAAATAAATGAGATACATCTTAAATGTTGCCCCTTCACAAGAACCAAGCCTTCTAGTGGGTACTGTGCACAGTTTGTTAGCTTGTGTAACGGTGATGGGTTAGCTGCAGTGATATTTGTCGACGATGATATTCGATCTGAAACTGAAGGGGTTATAAATCTGTGTAGTTAAAAATGTGTAGGTAAAATAAGTCAAGAATAAATGCATCAAAGCTGAGTACAGAAAGAGCTAGTGTCATGTGTGGGGTTTGAATTGTGTTAACCCTTGAATAGAAAAGTTACGTGCATGGATTTGTTAAGCAAATTTTATTAGGTATATTGAATTAATGTTCTGATATAGTGGTTTTATGCCTTAGGGTTTTTGATTAAAAAATGAACAATTTGATAAAAAATATGTGACATGATATAATTCTTCGTCAGAATATACAGCCGGTTTTTATTTTTAAGATAAATCATAATAAGCTACCGGTATTGACATTGATCTTTATTCGTGTTCTTAAATTAACGTTTTCTGTCATGTGACGCGGGTATCTCCCGTGAGTATTTTATTAAGAAGATTGTAAATTGAATAAAGTTTCATGATCATTAACCGAGTACTGTGTAGTCTGCTTTTAAGGGTCTTCATGGAATTAATCTCCAACTCAGTCTAGCCATTTTTTCTGGAATTAGAATTATGCCGTTGGAAATTCCCGTGAGGATTACAGTTTTCATCTAAACGTTCAGATGCACAGCGAATATTTCCCAGTAGGACCATAATTTAAAATAAAGAAATTAGATTAATCTTTTCTATCTACAGTTTCTAAAGTAATAAATTGTAATTTACGATATTTATTGTAAAAGCGTGTCATATGTATATACATTCACATTTTTAAGAGCATAAAAGGAATATGGTATTACAAGCTGAAAATTTATGTAGTTCATTGATATATTTTTAGGCACATTGGCAAGCCTGCGACGTTTCTGTTAAATTTAATTCGTTCGTCTAACTGCCTGTCCGTCCGCATACATGAAACAGTTCGAGAACAGATACACGTATTTTCTCGAAATGTTGTTATTGGAGATTATTGCCAGGAAGTTTCAATAAATTACCCTCATTTATAAACCTGCGACCCCTCGAGAAGAAAGCAAGTAAGAATTTGATCTTCGGCGTCTTGAAGTTAGAGAATCCCTGCTCTAAACGAATTGTTTTGAGCGGAAGACTATATAAGTAGGTGTATAACTAAAAAGTACATATTCAATATTTCGTATGCAGTTATCCACGGCACGTGTGATTGCAATTGTAAGCACCTGATACAGGGATAAACGTGTTAAGTTAGGCACAGTCGTGATTCAGGAACAGAATTTAGTTATAACTTTAAGGGTTTCAGCGTCGAACAAACACGGCTCGTTCTTTCTTTCTTCGCTGTCAAAAAATGAAGAGGTACTTCGACGACATCACAGAATGGCAGGCTGTAATGGAAAGCTCAGTGGGTGAAATAGATTAGGAGTTATCAAAGAGTAAAAAGAAATTGATGGAAAGGAGGTGGGTAAAGGAAAGCAAACGAGAGGTAGGACAAGAGCAGATAGACGAAGATCGATTATGGCTAGAATCCGGTAGCTGGAAAAGAGGATTCTCAATTCTGAAAGTGATTAATGATGCACCGCATGGAGTAAGCAAATTAGACATGAGACTGAAAGCCAGCGAAGTTGCTAATAAAGCTAAAACTTGTCTTCTTGGCTACGGGAAAGTACGTTCACGCACAGCGATCAAAGTCCGGGTCTCCAGGTAGGCTACCACTTCATGGGCTTTAGCATGTGCGTGCTTGTAACGGAAATCCAATCCGAAAGAAAATTGGTTGTCAAAGAATATTCTTATTGGTTTATTAATGCGATATTTAACTCAACACGTGTTACTTCATTTTTTAGAGATGGTAAATTACAAATTTTATTATTAAATCTGGGACCTCCAGAATATAAGCAGAGTGATAACTACTCCACCGAATGGTTCGGTAATTATCAGAGTTTACTTCAGGGAACAGACTAGAATTAGGAATAGTACACATTATATGTATTATGTGTTATATTAGCTAGATTACCTGCAATTTTTTCGGCCTTTCTCAAAATTAATTATACGGAAATAATTGTTGATTATATCTTACGACCTGTATTTAATAAGACATTAAATGTTTGCACGCCTATACAGGTGATTTTTTTTTTTTGCGTTTTCCACATCCACGTTTTCGTATATTCGCCGTTTTATTTCAGTATGCATTTATATATTATCCGCGGCCACAGTAAATAGCTGCCGCGCAGGTACGCTAAGTTGCACGAGCAATTTCACTGACCCCCCCCCCCCAATTATTTTGACTCCTGGGACCACACATTAAGGCCTCTGATGGTGTATCAATGAGAATATCAACGTTTCCCGTTTTACACGGTACCATTTCATTTCGCTATTCGCAGCAATGCAACACCGCGTATAACGAGAGCCACATGCATACGACTCATTTTCTCTATGAATACTTTACAACCATAACAACAAAGCAATTTAAGCTCTTAAATTACACGAAATTTAGTGCTCTGCATCATATATTTTTCTGATACAGGCCTATGATTTATGTATGTGTTTATGTGTGTATGTGTATATATATATATATATATATTAATAAAAAGGGTTTGAGGTCTACGTAACTTGTTACCGGTTACCAGATTTAATAGTTTAGATATCTGAAAGTTTTTAGTGAAGTATTCTGTAAATTGGCTGGTCAGCTTTGTTGTAAGCCAATGCTATTCTTCCGATAGCAGATTCTTGCGAGCACAGTAACGAACCTTTGAGTTCCATAAAAGATGGGAATGTTTCTTTGACAGTGAGTTTTATTCATTATTGATAACGGACGCAGGGAGTTGATTTAAGCCTTCAATAACACGAACAGAATCGTCGGACAGTTCAAGTTTGCACAACTTAAGAAGATACCCTTCGTGTTTAAAAGTTGTGGTGTTGGTGGAGTTTTTCTTGGAGGACCCTGACAAGAGCCAAGGGATGCCGACAGCAGACGCCACCAAGACCGCCAATGTTGCAAGATTTGGAAGACGCAGAGGGGATACAGCAGCAGTTTCTGTTGCTGACTCCAGCGCAGTTGGGGACACGAAATTCGGGTGTATCAATAATGCCGTTCCGCCCTGCAACCGCAGCGCGTCGTAAGTTGCCTGTCCATTGGGATCGCTTGCCAGAGCTGAGAGACCACCTTCAGCCACGTAGCCATTTAGCTCGTCTTCCTCGGGGTTCACATTTGAAATAACAAACAGTGGTTTTTTAAGGACGTCGTCTGTGCTGAAGGACTGCCTCAAATAACCTAAAAATCACGAAAGTTTTGCAATTAATGCATAAGGTAATGAATCTTACATTTAAGGATTTTCTAGCAAACCAATTCTTTTAGTATATGTTATGTGTTCTATACTCCAGATATAATAGTTTTATTGAAAAACTGATAGATTCTCAGATCATCACGATATTTAATATTTTTGTGGAACCCCAATATCAATAGTCATAAAATAAAAGCCCGTCATTGGACCGTGACTTTAGCCAGTGCACTTTCATACCGTAGATTTGTAAGATAGATTTTATCAGTGTCTCCCCATGTACTCTTAGGTATATTATGTGATATAAGTCCCCAAGGTTTTCCGATCAAAATGTCGCGGTAGTGCATCATGTTCCATGTTCATTCTACATGTCCTGTCTGTTTTATTTAGGCCTAGTGTGTTCGGTCAATGCATGAAGAGTCAGTAGTTTATAAAATTGTTTGCATTATAACTACTTTATGATATTTTTTCAGTAAAAAGTTTCAGCATGTTTAATATTAATGCCAGTTCTATCCAATCTACAGCAAGAAAATCTATACGAACCTAAGATCCAGTTTATTATTATTATTTATTAAATTAAATCAAATTATTATTAACCTATTTTTTATCTTGAAAGTGACCGAGTTCGTTGCTAAGCACAGGAGGATTAGTTGATTTCTAAATATGAACTATAATATCACGGCGTCTAAAATTTAGATCGTGCTTTTCTGGATTATGACGTCATGTAGTGGTTCCCACTGAAATGGAAAAACCTGTAGTCTTCACCTACCCTCAAGATGAGGCGGTAGGTTTATGCAGGACGTCAGTAACCACTTGTAAAACTACATAAAGTTATAACTCACATCACAATTTACCAATACTGTGTCTAGATACTTCGATGCATTTGTGGGATCCGGTTAGCTGAAGTGGTTACAAATCTGGAATTTGCTCCGGATCCCAGTAGTAGGCCTATATCAAACCACCTATATCAACACGCTTTATTTACAGTGTAGAAAAATACGTATTAAATAAGCAACTTATCTTGTAATTTAAACTATGATCCATGGCTTGACAAATTACAACACGACATTCCATAACACAGAGTAAAATAACATCCTGAATTTATATGAAGTAACATAACAGACGTGTGAAATGTGTTAGCTGCTCCCCAAACACATGGACAAAAGTCTATTAATAGGCGTAATTTTGTGCACTGTCAAGTAGTAACAAATGTACTTTATTAAGCCGGCGTTTGATGCAGTACAAACATAATGACAGTAATAAACAATGTCTATTATTGTTACCACCATCGTAGTTTAGTGCCAGTAGAAGACAACCAACCATTCGCCATACAACAAAATAGCCAAAGAACACAGGATACCATTCCAATTCACAATCATCCTCCCATTCGACGGTATATAGTCTGACCTACTGAAAAGCGTCGTTAAATAAACTACAAACAAACATTGACTTCACAATTGTACGTCATATACATTTATGGATGACAAACCACTAGCAATGTACGTATTCAGTAGGCCTTATTCGTTGTTATACCATTTACAGTCAGAATCAGAATTATGTTTGTTGAAAAGTACGCATTTCTGAAAACATGTTACACTTTACTCCAAATACAAAATATCGAAGTAAACATGCGACTTACTGTAGACAGTGACGTTGCTGTTTTCTGTCCGCCCGTAGCTGAAGGCTGATGTGACCATAAGGCCAAATACAATGATCCGTGCCACGGACATGGCTCATTTACAGCCAGACTTGAACACAACACGGCCCTTATATGGTCTTAAACAGTAGATAACAAACGAATTTGTATACCAGTAATTTTCCACAGTGATAATTAAAATCGCCCATTTGCCTTAAAAATAGAATGTGATAAGACTGTTTATTAGTTCGGGTACTCTCCCGGTGTTATCAGCTTGAAGTGGCTGAAAGATTTAGTAATCCCAAATGACCTAGTTGACTATAATGGAGAAGCATTGCTTATCATCGGGGGTGAAGTTAAGAACAATGTGGAGTACAAACACTTGCCACAATTGTGAGTTGATTGAACGCCATGACATGCGGACGTATGGAGGAGTGGAGGTACATCGGTACATGAACATGAGTGGTCATTACAAATAAATTAGTACTTTAATTCCTAGATCCATTTTGTGTCATTGTTTTTATTTCAACACAAAATGACGCACAATACCAGTACGTCAACATGCAATTATCGACAGTTCTTAGTTTATGCAGCTCAGTGAGTACAAGTAAGTGGAACCTCCAAACCAGTAGAATAACTAAAAATTAATTTCTTCACTTAAAAGGGTTTTACGTAGAAGGGAGAAGAGAGTTATCGATTACAACTAAACCAATTAAGCGATTAGCAAAAAGTAATAAGCCTCTTCCTTAGTTCTTCTGGGTCTCATAAAAGTATTAGCGAAAAAGAGGGGCATTATGGGAAATTAGCTGCAGGAAGTGTTGGGTCATTTGGAAATAGGCTGAACGTAGGAAATTAATTTTTGGCTATTTGAAGTCCTGTCTTATAATTTGTTAAATAACAAATTTTAAAGTATACATCAGGACGCCATAGTGATGAAGGCAGTGGGATCAGTGTCTATCAGAATACGTAGTTCAATATTATCTTTATTTTTATAGCCGTGAGAACCCGAAATGTCAAATGTTATTCTCAGCCAGTCTTTTGTATCTTCATTATGTTTAGAGTCCATTTGTTTGTATTGTGCGATCGCTCGGAAGAAACATTTCTGACGTGTCTGTTCTTATCACTTAATTTTAATACACCCAAAAAAGGTTTGAAATAATTATTTCAGTTCATTCTGTGATGTAGGTTTAATTCTATCTTTAAATGTATTACGTACAATGAGATATTTTTTAGCGAAACGTTGTTTCATTTCAGTAATTGTATTATAGGCATAAATTATTGGCTATTGGCAAACTAAAATTAATTTTATAACGCTTCACTGTATTTTGTAGGCGAGGCATGTGGAACGAATGGCAGAGATGAAAATTTTGGTCGTGAAATTTCAAAAGAAGTTACGAATTACCGGGAGACCAAAACTTAGATGGAGTTACATTTGTAATTCGAAATGTATGATAAAGAAAATGTTTGTGGCTGGATTAAACTGGGTTATGATACGGTAATGAACCTTAAGGTTGCATAAAAGGTGAGGAATTTCTTGATCGGTTGAGTGACTGTTAATTTTCTATGAAGGATTCTTCTCTGTGTAGTTGATTAGTAGTTACAGAGAGCGGAGTACCAGTAATTGTAGCGGGTAATTTCGTCAAGCCTACCAAATTTGTGTATTATTGGTCTTCACATGATCAAAGATGAATTCTAACGTGTAATTCCTATTGAACTAAATCATTAGTTACTAACTAAGGAACTACTAATCTAATCCT